TATTTTCTCATCTGTTCTGCTCCTTTTAGTCTCTTGACTAGTACATTTAATCCATTGGTGTTCAGTGTAATTATCAATAGGTATTAATTGATTGCAGTCATTTTGCTGTGTGCTTTTTGTGGTACTGCTGTTTTCTTTTGTTCCACATGTTTTCCCGTGTTGAGTTGATTTTGTTTGTACATTTTATGGCAATTTCTTTACTGTTGTTGTTTTCATGTTTACAAAATCTTCATGGTTTTCCCTTTTTTTGCTTTGATGTGAAGGCGTATTAATTTTCTTTGAGGCTATCCTGTAACTATTAATTTCTTCTCCTGTTTAAAAGTTTTTTTGTTTTGTTTTTGTTTTAAATCTTGGACTCTGCTTGACTTCCTGGCCATTTGGGAATTCTGTAACCATCTATCCCCTCTTTTTGCATTGTCATTATAAATTGCTATCTCTGATTCCCTATTTGCAATCTTGTAAGTTTGTTTTACTTTGGATATTTCTATATCTGGATTGAATTCTTGGTGAGATTGCCATGTATGTCAGTCTCCAGTTGTTATCTACTGTTGTTGGTTCTTAGTCCAAAGGACTCCCTTTAGTAATTTTTGTCATTTATCAACTGCCTTCTGGTGGATGTGATCAGGAGATGAGCTTGAGCACCATTCTCTGTTTGCTGCTTGTGCAGTGTAGGGTTGACTTGACCGATGTTGATTGTTGTCTTGATCCAGTGTATAGCAGCTGGTATTGTTTCTTGCTCAATAGGTGGGATGTAACAAGACAATAATCGCACCTTTGTCTCTGTGAGCCACAGGTATGTTTTGACAAAACCGGTTAAGTTTTCTATGTCTGAAACTTCTCACAAATGCTCAAGATGGCTGTGCCCAGATGGTCACCAGCTCGCATCATCAATCACCCCTATTTCTGCTGTGTTTACTCAGCTCTCTTTCCTAGTAAGCATTCAATCCACTTCTGCATCCCTTTATCTGAAGCTCAGTGTTCCAGGACTATCATCTGCATGCCTCATTTGGTTTTCCATATCTTTGTTGTAGAGGGCCCATGAAGCCTTTCTGTCTAGTTTGCCATTTTGCCGCCTCTCCCCCATTGATCATATACTACCTCTTGAAATGGTTGAACATCAACCATTTACTTTGATGCTTTCTACATCCTTTAATAGTTTGCCTTTAGAATCGTTCAATATTGAAAATTGAGGCTTGATATTTTTTTTCTTCTGTTTTCTTCTGCTTGAGAAATGCTAAGCATATTCTTCCCTTTTGGTTTTGTAACTCTGGGTCTTTGCATATTTCATTATAGTACTTTACTTTTGTTTTTGTTTTTGTTTCTGCACTTTGAAACTTTCTGTTCAGCTCTTTTACTTCCTCATTTCTTCCATTTGCTTTAGCTTCTCTATGCTCAAGAGCAAGTTTCAGAGTCTTCTGACATACGTTTTTGTCTTTTTCTTTCTTTCCTGTCATTTGTTTTCTTCCTATATGATGTTCTTGGTGTTATCTCACAATTCTTCTCCTCTTAGGTCACTAGTGTCTACTGTATCACATTCAGGTGGGATATATTCAAGATATTTTGTCTGTTGTTTTTAATTTTCTTTCACTTCAGCTTAAACTTACATTTAAGCAATTGATGGTCTGTTTCATAGTCTACTCTTGGCTATATATTGGCTGATGATATTGAGCTTCTCTACTCTCTCTTCCCACAAATGTATTCAGTTTGACTCCTGTGTATTCCAACTCCGGAGGTCTAGGTGTATCATGGCCTTTCAGGTTGTTGAAAAAGGTATTTAAAATGAATAAGTTATTGATCTTGCAAAATTCTATCATGTGATCTCTAGCATAATTTCTATCACCAAGGTCATATTTCCCAACTACTGATCCTTTTTAGTTTCCAAACTTGGCATTCCAATCATGAGTAATTATCAATGCATCTTGATTGCATGTTTGATCAATTTTAGACTGAAGAAGTGTTAGGATTCTTCAATTTCATCATCACTGGCTTTAGTGGTTGGTGTGTAAATTTGAGTAATAGTATTAACTGGTCTTCCTTATAGGCTTATGAAGATTATTTTATCATAGATAGCATTGTTCTTCAAGATAGATCTCGAAATGCTCTTTTTGATGAGGAAAGCTATGCCATTGCTTTTCAATCTGATGTTTCAGACATTATAAACCATATGATTATCTGATTAAAAATGGCCAATACTAGTCCATTTCAGCTCACTACTGCCTAGGATATTGATCTTGATGTGTTCCATTTTATTTTTGACAAATTCCAATTTTCTAGATTCATACTTTGTACATTCCATGTTCCAATTATTAATAGATAGTTGTACCTATTTCTCCCCAATTTGAGTTGTACCCCACCAGCAAATGCAGGTCCCCAAAACTTTGTTCCATTTATGTCATTATGGTCACCTCTACTTTGAGGAAACAGCTTTTCTCCAGTCATATTCTGAGTACCTTCTCATGGCTATTCATAATGTTTTCATCTTCCAGTACTATGTCTGGCAATGCTCCCTCAGCTATTCGTAAAAATTTCAATAGCTAACCATCCAAAAGTAGTCTGCTTTTCCTTCTTTCTAGTTTGTCTTAGTCTGGAAACATCACTGAAACTTGTCCTCCATGGGGGACCCTGCTGGTATTTAAATACTGGTGGCACAGCGTTTAGCATCACAGCAACACACAGGCCACCACAATATGACAAACCGACAGATGGTTGGTGTATGTATATCTGTATGTATGTAGAGTTGTTGTTTTGTGCTATCCAGTTGGTTCTGACTCATAGCAATCCTGTATTGGGTTTCTGAGGCGCAGCTGGTGAGTCTGAACTGCTGACCTTGGGGTTTAAACCAACTTTGAGATTGAGTGCTTATCCTATGGTGCCACACCAGGACTACATATACATTGCTGCTGTTGTTAAGTGCCGTCAAGCCGATTCCGACCCATAGCGACCCTGTATAGGGTTTCCAAGGAGCAGCTGGTGAGCTTGAACCACCGATGTTGCAGTTCAAACGACTTTGCAGTCTGACGCATTAGCCCACAGCCTCACACCAGGACTCCATATACCTATACATATACAATTTATAATTAGGAAAGAGAGTGAGCAACAGAACTAGGTAATCAAAGTGAAATCAATCCCAAAGGAGGTGATGGAGGAGTTCAGGTCACTTGCCTAGACATCTCCCTTCTCAACCCATAGGTGAGTTTCTTTACAATGAGGACAGCAACCAATGAAAATGCCTGCCTCTCCTGGATGGGGACAAGAATGTTCTCCACCACTCGGTAAACTGGCTGCTAAAACGTAGGCTGTTTTGTTGGTTTCTTTGAAGATCACCTTGAAGGATTCTTCAACTGAGAAAGACTCCGCATCTTCACTGGAGTAGGGCTGGGAGATGCTCCATCCTGGGAAAGCTGCTCTGGGCCTCAGCTCTCAGAGTGCCTAAAGAGCGCTGTGAGCTTTGACCATTGCAGTAGGGGCTGCGTGCAAGTTGAAGACAATGATGGAAACAGAGAAAAAGAAAAAGAATTGAAGGGGGAAGGGAAAGGAAGGAAAAAGAGAAAATGAAAGATGCAGGCGTCCTATGATATTTCAGCAGTCTCCTTCTGTCCAGTTCTCCAGCTCTCTTGTCCTCAGGGCGTCACACTGTGAAGGGAGGGGGAGAGGGTGTGTTGAAGCTGAAAGTGACTCAGACAGATCTTTCCACCACTGTGCAACTGATGAGAGAATATCTCTGCGCCTGTTTCCTCACCGTCTGAGGTTAGACGGTGGGGGTGGGTCAGAGTCCTTCTCTCTCAGCACGGTCAAGTAGAACTTTCTGGAAGGGGGCTATTGAGCATTCTAAATGTGGCAAGTGCCACTGAAGAACTGAATTTTGAACTTTAAAATTTGTATTCAAGATGAGTTGCTTGAAATCCAAATAACCCCATGTGGCTAGGGTGTTTCTCTGGCTCCTTGGGAGGAGACTTATTCGTGGCCACAACTGCTCTCCTGCGCCCGGCAATGTGGACACTGTGAGGCACAAGTTCAATGCCCTGTAGCTACAATGATTTCTTCCACCCTGGTGGCACATTGGGTTAAGCCTTGGACTCCTACCTCAAAGTTAGCAGTTCGAATTCACTAGCCGCTCTGTGGAAAAAAGATGAGGCTGCCTGCTTTCCTAAAGATTTACAGTCTTGGAAACCCTATGAAACAGTTCTACTCTGTCCTATAGGATCACTATGAGTAGTAATCTACTGGATGGCAGCGGGAGTTAGCTGGTCCCATGAGGCCAGGATTGGCAGGAAGGTACAGGACTGTAGTTCAGATCCCTGAACTCAGGATGGGAGCATTTAGGATTCCTAAACTCGCGGATTTACTCCATGGAGTTCTCTTCTCCTACTCTGTCCGCCCACAATCCTGTAAATCACGTGGGTAACACAGAAGACAGTCACTCAGCGTCTCAGATACCAGCTGCGCCTCCCACAGCGCCGGTTCCTTTATTTCTCGAAGTAACTCTAGGAGGCTAAGGATTTCCCCATCCAATTCACCGAGCTGGTGTAGCTGGAGCTGAGCCCTAAACTCTTAGGGCCTCCAATGGCGCCAAAGCGCGGCCCAGACACTTCCGTGGGTCGAGTTGTCAGGACGCGCGGAAAAAGAGGCTGGTAAATATTTGGCGCGGTAACCTGGCCTCCCGCGGCAGCTACTCCTTCGTCACTTCGGTTCCCCGGAGGGCGCGTGGCGGGGCGGTGCCTCGGGGACAGGGGCGTCCCCGCCTCCCGGACCCCGCCCCCACCCCGCCCCCACCCCGCCCCCTCGGTGCTGGGGATATAAGACTGCGTGCCTAACGGGTGGCGGGCTAGTGAACGTACAGCACACGGACTCAGCTGCAAACAGCTCTGGCAAAGAACTCGCGCGGAGCCGAACGCAAGCTGGAAAACCAGCCCCGACCAGCCCAGTTTCAGCCCGAGAGGCGCCCCTTCCCTGGCCGGCACCTCGCTTACCGTGCGCTGTGCGCAGGGCCAAGCCACCCCATGAAGCCACCCGCCACACAGGGCAGCTCTGCTGCCGCTGCAGGTGAGTGCAGGGACCTGGGGTCTCCTAAAGCCTCAGCTCCACAGGTAAGGGGTGGCATGGGACAAGAGATGAAGGAGACCATGTCATCCTTGTCCCCCCAAATACTCACCGTTGGAACCTTGGATCCAGGTGGCCCCGCGCTGGGGGGTTCAGTCTTCGCCCTTGTCCCCATCCCAGGCTAGGGGCCTCAAGCCGGTACGTCATGGGCGCACTCTGACTCAGTCTGCCCACTGTCATGGTTTCGCACCAGCCCCTGGGGGAATGTGCGTGGGGACAAGTATCTTAGACACTTGGGAAAGCACTGGGCTTGGTGACCTTTGGTCATCAACTTCAATGAGCTTAGTTTTCTTATCTACAAAATGTGTCTGATAATTGCAGGCGCTTCAGGGACGGGTCGAGTTAAATAGCTAACAGGTGGCTACAATACAGTGAAGTTTTTTTATCCTGGGGATTGGTGACGCCCCCTTGAGACTGTCCTCACCTGAACTCACCTGTCTCCAGCCCCAGCCTTGGACTCCGCGGATGCTGCAGACCTGACGGACGCGCTGTGTGAGTTTGACGCGGTGCTGGCTGACTTCGCCTCGCCCTTCCACGAGCGCCACTTCCACTATGAGGAGCACCTGGAGCGCATGAAGCGGCGCAGCAGCGCCAGCGTCAGTGACAGCAGTGGCTTCAGCGACTCCGAGAGTAAGTGCAGACAGTCAGGCGCTGCTCAGATTCCCAGCCCACAAAGGGTCCCTCAGGGCTCAGTTTGCTACTGTAGACCGAGGGGTGGGGCCCAGTGGAGTAAGCCCTACGGCAGCCTCTACCGCGTAGATATCAAAGGTTTTAAGGCCTGTTTGTTAGACTAGGTATTTGGCTGCTAATCTCAAGGTGGGCGGTTAAGCCAATCAGTCCTTCCGCGGAGACGGATGAGTCTGTCTGCTCTTTTAAAAGGTTTAAGGTCTCAGAAACTCTGTATAGGGTCATTATGAGTTGGAATCAACTTGATGTGCAGTGTGCTTTTTGTGTTTAAGCCCAGCCCTGGCAGGTCCCTGAAGGTAGTCACCGGAAGGGTCAGTTGGTCTTCCTGACACTTGCAGGTGTCCTGCATGAGGGTTTTAAGCAGTTTGTGAGACTCACAGCCAGACAGGAGTCCTGCGGACCACCGGTCGAGGTGTCCACAGTCTCCTTTCTCTCCTGCCCTCCTTTCATTCTCCAGCTTATCAGAGGATGTGGTGTGAAGTGCCACAGGAATTGAGAGCAAGGAGGGAGGAAGCCACCGAAGGACATGCTACCCAGGCATTTGTGAAACCAGAAAAGGTTTCATAAACTGCTATTCTTGGGATTTTTGAAATAACTTCTTGCTCTTTCTTCTGGTCCTGAACTCTCTGACTTGCTACACAATTGCATGCAGTTTTGAAAAGATTCCTGGCGCTGCTTAGTTCAAGTTGAAGAGCGGTGTTCTCCCTTCAAGTCGGCTCACCACAGGGAATGCCGGCTTTGACCCCTGCCCAGGCTAGAGAGTGCATGGGTGAAAGGGGTGGGTGGTTTCGCCTCCTGATGACCCTTCTTATAATCAAGACGACTCCAGGGTTACTTATATGAAAAGAGGCATCTCAAATTTCCTGTAAGGATTATGGATGTTATATACCTGTTTAGGGAGTCCTGGTGTAGTGCCGTGGGTTAATGCGCCAGACTGCAAAGCCGTTTGAACTGCAAGGTTGGTGGTTCAAGCTCACCAGCTGCTCCTTGGAAACCCTATATAGGGTCGCTATGGGACGGAATCGACTCGATGGCACTTGACAACAACAACATACCTGTTTAGAGTATCAAACAGCAAATTTGGTGACGTTTCAATATTTAATCCTGGATTACTTTTTTTTTAAAGTGCATATTAAGATCTTCTGGGTTATTCTTAAAACATTAATCCCTAGATGAGTTCCAAACATGAATGCTCCTCCCTGTGCTCCCTTGACTCTGAAGTATGCTTGGGTGGTGCACATGGTTTATGTGCTGGGTTGTTAACTGAGAGGTTGGAAGTGCAACTCAATTCAGAGGCATCTTGGAAGAAACGCCTGGTGTTCTACTTCCAAAAAAGAAGCCATTGAAAACTCTCGGGAGCACAGTTCTACTCTGACTGGATGGTATCTGGTTAACTGATTTCTGGAGATTATCTTTAGAAATCTGGAGTTCTTTTTTGTTCCTAGACTTGAACATACACTGTCCTTCTGAAAAGGGAGAAAGGGCACTTCCCACCCAGCTCAGAGTTAGAGTCTGAAATTTGAGTTTCCTTGGCAGCTCTGCTTGAGGATTAGGTTGAATTTACAGTTTTTGAGGTGAAAGGGAATGGAATCATTGCTGTTAATTTTTTGTTTTCAATTTTGGGGCTTGGTTGTTAATTGTCAGCTTACTTATTTAATCCTTTGCACTAATTTACTTATACGATTTGCTCTCAAAGGGAAGTCTTGCAGTTTTAAAAATTTGTCTCAATATCTGTGGCCATATTTAAATATGTCTCTTCTACTGGAGCCTAGAGCAAGTTATTCATAAAATACAAATTCTCACCCACACAGAAGAGAAAGCTGGAACAATCTGTCCAGTGCTGCTGTATTGCAAAGAACGGCTTCTTGCTAAGCCATAGTTGCATTCAGCTAGAATGCACTATGAGCTTCCTATTCATGGGTGGTGGCAACTGTATTTCGGTGAGATTTCAGATCTGGGATCCTTTTTCAGATCCTCAAACAGTAGGCACTAGGAACATATTCTTAACCATTTAAGGGGGAGATACTTGCAATCTTTTTTTTTTTTTTTGGTAGTTTTCCCCAGGGTATATGTGTATATTTTGCTTTCTGTTTTGGTCAACTGTTAACTTTCAACTACGTCCTACTTATAGAAGTAATAGGGAGAGGACTGGTCAAGATATAAAGAAGGGTCAGATGACATTAAAAAACCAAACCAGCTGATGTTGAGTTGACTCTGACTTACAACATCACCATGGATGTCCGAGTAGAACTGCAGTCCATAGAATTTTCAAAAGTAGATAGATCATCAGGCCTTTCTTCTGGACTTGAACCTCTAGACTTTCAGTTAGCAGCAGAGCATGTTAGCTGATTGCACTGACCAAGGACTCCCAGATGATATGACTCGGTTATAAATGTGTTGTCTGTCCCTCGACAAGACTAGTTAGAATAAACAGTCTTGGCAGGAGCTGTGTGCATCTAAATAGTAATTTCTTAAGTAAGCGCAATGCGTATCTTGCTGCCAAGAATTAAGCACAGACATTTGTTAGACTCATTTGTCTGTTTAATGCTTAAGGAACAGCCTACTGAATTGAGCTTCCCCCAAAGAAGATAATGATAATATCAGCAGCTCTGGAGGTTCAGTGGGTTAAGTGCTGGGCTGCTAACCAGGGCCAGTGGTTCAAACCCATTAACTGCTCCTAGGGAGAAAAATGAGGCTGTCTGCTCCTCTGGCCTGTTGGATTGCTATAAGTTGGAATCTATTTGTTGGTAGTGGGTTTGGGTTACCATGATTGCTATTATTAACTCTTGCTATCCTTTGAATGTAGGATCTCATACAATCTCTCCAGGTAAGTTAAGTGCCTTTGAGTCGGTTCTGCCCCATAGTGACACTGTATAGGTTTTTTGAGGAGCAGCTGGTGAGCTTGAACCACCGACCTTGTGGTTCAAACCTACTTGGCAGTCCAGCACATTAACCCACAGTGCCACACCAGGAGTCCTCTGATGAGCGAGTGATACCTCTTAGGCTTTCTCTCTAAGGCCTTGCTCCATCACTGTAGGCTGATGGCTGGTACAGGAACGAAGTCCTCAGGAACAGACTGAAGTCCCATTAGTTGATCAGTAGTGATTGTATTTGGATGATGTCTCCTCCAGGTGGAGGTGGTCATCTGGCAGGGTGAATGAAGGTTATTTCCTATGAGGAGATGTTGCTATAAGTGCCATTAAGTCAATTTCAATTCATAGTAACCCTGTATATAATTTCTGAGGAGTGACTGGTGGGTTTGAACCACCAACCTTGTGGTTAGCAGTCCTGTGCTTATCCTACAGTGGCACACCAGGACCTTATTTGGCTTTGGGGGCAGAATGTCAGGCAGTATACACTGGTGACTTGTCCTGATGAGCCACTGTAGGATAAGCACAGGACCACAAGGTCAGTTTGAACTACAATGTCAGCAGCTCAAACTCACTAGCGGCTCTTAGGAAACCCTATACAGGGTGGCTCTGAGTTGGAACCGACTCAGTGGCACTTAACAACAACAGTAGTCTGGGTTAGGAGCCACTGAGAATAGAGTTCAAACTTGTTCCAGCTGTGGGAGAAAAGGCAGTTAGGAGGCCTCAGGAGGCTCTGGAATTCCAAGTGGGTTGACAAGTCTCATTCTTACAGACGCCTGGCAAGGTGTCTGGAGGGTTGGGGCTATTCCAGAGACTTTCTTTTGCTCAGTTAATTACTATTGTTGGTTGCCTGAGACAAGTGGGGAGCTTCTATATTTACAGAAGCTCTAGGCAAGGTTTACTGTCAGTGGTTTTTCTTCCCACTGGAGTAGCCCTTGTCAGCACTAACCCTACATTACCTTTCTCCCCACCCCCAAATGAAGCAAGCACACTAACCTTTTAAAGAAGCTTCTGTTTTTGCAGTGGAGTTTCCACAAGCTAGGTGGCTGGGTGGGCAGTCCCTGGGTTATGGGTTACGGACAACCCCTGTTGTTGTTCTCATTAAAGACTGTTGAGTCAGTTCTCATAGTGACCCTGTAGAGGGTTTCCAAGGAGTGACTGGTGGGTTTGAACCGCCAACCTTGTGGTTAACAGTCCAGTGCTTATCCTACAGCTTTACAATAACTCCTACTTACTTGCCCTTTAATGCTATGTAACTTTGCCCTCACTTTGAAACAATTGAACCAACCCCTACTCAACAAATTATCACAATCTCTTTCAGCACGTACAGCTTTTAATTCATTGAAAAGGCATCGATCGAGGTTTGCTTCCCCCAATTCTGATCTACCTACAAATTTGACTTAAAGACAGTGAGAAACAGATCTCATGGTAACCCAGGGACTGTATATTTAATATGCTTATGTCGCTTTTGATGGTATCTTAGATAACTTGGTCTCTGAAATTTGAGGTTCCTGACTTGGGAACTTTGTTGACTTGATAGACATTGCTAAGGAGGCTTTGAGATGCTTGCGCGGCAGAGCTTCAGAGCTGACTGAAGTAGACATTGAGGTCCTCATAACACCCAGCCTTTCTACCTGCCAAGGTTCCCCAAATCATCACTGTTATGAATTCTGTGAGCCCATCTCCATAGCAGCACCCAATGCCCAGGCTGCGAAGTGCAGTACTATGTTATCAGCTAGCGACACCTTGTCATTTGATCAGACTCACTGTTATTTTGCAAAGAACAGAGTTCCAGGGGAGTAGAAAGAACTGGAAGTCTGGCCTTGCATAGCTTTTAATCTACCACATACTGTGTATGACATCTTGTTCATTTTAAGTGCTTAATCAAAGTTTGTAGAATCAGATTTTATCAGGTAAAGAGTAAAGAGAGGTCTAGAGCTTGGGGTACCCGTGATATCTATGTTGATGGCTTATTCTAGGGTGCCTCTGGTGATAAGTGTCTTTTAGAGAACTTGCCTCTCTTTGAAGCTGAGAAGGAAGCCAGGGCCCAGAGGCATGCTTCTTTTTGTTCTCTGGTGACATTTCCACTTCTGGGCATTCATTTCTCCATTTCACCAGGAACTTTAAAATAAAATAATTAGACCCATAGGTATCAGTTGTCCCTCCTTTGCCTAAGAAGAAATGCAGATTTATAGGTGAGTGCCCAGGGCAACCCAGCTTTTAAATGCCTCCTATCTGTCTGTGGCTTCTGCTGGGCTCAATTTGCTTTGGGCTCTGCAAACAGCTCTCTTTATCTTTTTCATTAACAAGAATGGCATGTGGGTGACACAACCAAGGGGTAGAACTGAACTGTGGGCAGATTTGGTTCTGCCAAATATCAAGGACTTGAGGGTCAGGTATGGCTCTGACCCCATGGGGGAAAAAGGGGCCAAGCTGCAGCAATCAAGCCATTGTGTGAACTTGTGTGTGTGTGTGTGTGTGTGTGTGTGTAAGCGTTTGGTATAGTATTGGGGAATGAGTGACCTTATGCTATATTAATCTGTCTCTCTATATGTGTTTAAGGAGCTCTGGTAGTGTAGTGGTTACGAATCGGGTTACAAACCTTAAGGTCAGCGGTTCGAAACTACCAGCTGCTCCGTGGGAGAAAGATGAGGCTTTCTACTCCCGTAAAGATTTACACCCTCGGAAACCCTATACAGGGTCGCTATGGGTCGGAACTGACTCGATGGCACATACCAACAACAACAACAACTATATGTGTTTATATATACTTTGTTGTTGTGAAGTGCCGTAGAGTCGGTGCTGACCCATAGTGGCCCTGTATAGGGTTTCCAAGGAGCAGCTAGTGCCAAGGAACTGCTGACCTTGCGGTTCAAATGGCTTTGCAGTCTGGTGCATTAACCCATAGCGCCACACCAGGACTCTTTATATATACATGGGGGCTTCAAAAAGTTGGAAACTTTTCCATTATGTTTTAATTCCATTTTTACACAAACTTTCTGAAGCCCTTTCATAGATGTTGTGACTAGTTGGTTTTTTTTTTTTCCTCTTTCTTCTTTCCTCATTGCAAGAGTAGCCTGAGTTCATTGACAGTCGGAGGTAACTTCTAGTCATCTTAATAGCTTGCAACTGAATTGATCATTTTGCCTATACACAAGGGGGGACTTTAGAAAGTTTGTGGAAATAGGATGACAAGATGATGGATTTTTTCCATGAACTTTTGATGCTTCCTCGTATTTTCTGAATTTGAGGAAAATGCTTGGATCAGTTCCAAGCAGGAGAAGTAAGCTGTGTTGATATCCTGGTACTATGGTGCATTCTCTACAGTGTACCCCCAAACTCTTCAGATTACATTGAGCTTTTCCTGAAAATTCAATAGTTTTTGGTCTACTTGTCCCTGAGGAAACCAAATTGTATTTTGTTTGGTTTCCATCTCTCAAAGACTGTGCACATCAAACCCCTGAAGAGTAGAGGCAGGGTAGAGATGAAGACCAAAGTCATGGGAAGGCCTGTGGTGCAGGGTGGGTGGGGTTGGAGGGAGGGCTGTGTGATACAGTCTTAAGGACAAGCTGCTTCAGGCAGATAGAAGACTGAGGAGTGGCCACTATGATCTGGGCCAACAAGGCTCCGGGCCTGGTACCTGGTGCCAGGCATGGGGCGGGTGCTCTCTGGTGTCATTCAGAGCCAAGAATAATATTCCAAGAGTCTTATATTCCTTCCTGGGCACAAGGCCTGCCTTCCTAGTATTCCGCGTGACTCCCCTTGAGTCTGACATCATCCTATCCCATCATGTTTCCCAGGCTAGATTAATGGGACTTCTGGCTATTACATGGTGACAAACAGTCATGCTCCACTGTAGTTCAACAATGACATGACCACCATCCTGTGTCCAGGAAACAGGCTTTCTCTATCAAAAATCCAGGTTGCTCTAGAAGTGAACTCAGCTGGTAAACCAAGCAAAAGTGTTTCCCAAATTAGTTCCACAGAGTACAGGTGTCCTGAGAAATACAATCAGGGATGATACAAACAAAACAAATGTCCCAAGGTTCCGTAAACTTGGGAAATAGGACTAAACTGGCTTCTTCATGAGAAGACCTCACAGACATTAAAGTGGGAATACACAATGGAAATCTCTAATGGGAAATATAGTGGGAAAATCATGCCAAAGGTTCTGTTGAGCAGGCAAGGAGGACTAAGTCATGGCATCCAAGTTTGTGCTTGTACATGATCTTTTCATTCAATTTTCCACAAACTTTTTGAAGCCCCCTGTATTTTGGGCAGTTCAGAGGGCAGAAGGGACATTTTTCATGAAAGATGATTCCTTTTATTTAAGGAATCCTAAAGCAATCCCAATCACTCAAGCACTGGTTTAGCTGCTCATTGGGCACCTGTATGTTGGCACAGGAGACTGGTCTGGTCATGATGTTCCTAGTGTGCCCAGCTTGTTTTAGGACCCAAGGGCCTTTGGCGTTTCTCAGACTGAGTTGTTCCACAGCGATCTTTTCAAGGGGTATGTGTTTGGAGTTTGGGCTCAGAGTTTTGAATCTCAGATGGTGTTCGTCTTCAAAGCCCTAAACAATGACTGTGGACTCGTGTTCTTAGGTGGCCTGGGCTGGACCTCTAAAGGAAGAGTGTGGTGAGTGTTGGTCAGAAAGGAAGGATCTTCTGGGCATATTTAGAAAGTGAAGAAGATGGGCCAATAGGCAATGAAGACAAGATGGCAGCTGGGGAGGCACCTGGTCAAGAGAGGGTGTGGAAAGGAAGCCAGGTGAGGTTCCTGAGAAGGTGTAGCAGCTTGGTAGGGCTGAAGACAAAACCTGGTAGGTTGCTTCTGGAGAACCCCTGGTTCTTTTTAAGCTGTGTCTATCTTTTGTAATGTAGTCAAGTTCATGCTGAGCTAAAAGAACCAAAGAAAATGTTTTTTGTCTCCTAAGCTGGAGGTTATTGAATTAAAGTGAGAGGATTCCCAGAAAGCAGTGGGCGCCTGGTCAGGCATGAATGACTCCGTTATCCCAGCTCCTTTCTGGAGCTCATCTAGGCCACAACCTTGACATCATGTGTTGTTTTCATTAGGAAGGCTGTTCCTGCACCAACTCAGTGGCCACATCCTGCTTCCGCTGCCTACTCTTCCTTTGAGCCCTTTGAGTTGGCGCTGCTTCTTTCTGTGTCACAGATGCATGGCTGAGTTGGTTCCCTCACCTGTGGCAGAACTTAGAGAAATAAAGCCCTAGAACTCCTACGGATTGTTTAAACTGATTGATACTAATTGACCTGCTCAAGGGCATCCAAGTGCCTGGTAGCTGAGCTGGTTCTCTTAACTTTCAGTCAGTCTCTCTTCCCATAAGTGTCTGTAACACAGTGAGCCTCCAGGATAAATACTCGTCTTTGGCCCTCTGGCTTATCCTTAGAGCGTAGGTGCAGGGTTCAGTGTACTGGGGAAACCATGACAAAGATTCCCTTGGGCAGGCAGGGAGGATTAAGTCATAGTATCCAATTGCGGATGTTCAGAGGGCAGAAGGGACATTTTTCATGAAAACTGATTCCTTGTGTTTCCAATCCCAAATCAATCCCAATCACCCAAGCACTAGGTTAGCTGCTCAGTGGACACGTGTGTGTTAGCAGTGGAGCCTGGTCTGGTCATGATGCTCCTAGCATGCCTTGCTTATTTTAGAAGGCAAGTTTGGGATGCCTAGTTGGAGACTCACACACTGACACACACACACACACACACACACACACACACGCCTCTGCTTCAGATTATTACCGCTATTTACAGGGTCTCTATGAGGCAGAACAGACTCTGGAAATCAACCTGTTTGCTTTGCTGTATATTTACATCTGCATCTTTTGGAGATGAACCATTGGTTATCCATAGACTGTAGCCTGAAAACCACTTCTAATGAGAATATTTTCTTTCCCGAAAGGTGCAGATTCCCTTTGTAGGAATAGCTTCAGCTTCAGTGATGAGAAACTGAATTCTCCGACAGACTCTACCCCAGCCCTGCTCTCCCCTGCCATCTCTACTCGGAAAGGTGAGCTCATTGGTTGTAGCGTGGACTCTTGGGCTGCTTGATTCCTCTCTCTTTCTCAACCCTTTCCCTCTTCTCCTTTATCCCTACCCGATCTTTCTCAAATGTGCAAAACAAATAGATAAGACTAAAGTTTTTGTATGGGTAGTTCCAAGGTGGTGGCCAGTGGTTAATGAACTCATTTGCTGACCAGAAAGCTGACCATTTAGGCCCACCCAGAGGCTCCCCTGATGAAAGACCTGCTGATCTACTTTTTAAAAAGTCAGCTGATGAACATCCTTCAACCCTGACACACATGGGCTGCCATAAACAGGAATAGACTTGGCAGCAACTAGAATGCCTTAGTTTATAGGTAAATAGTGCAGTGTGAAACAGAACCTGCTAATTCTCAGCATTTTGATCCATATGTCAATTAAATCAGATAACTCAGGACAGAAAACTCTTAATTCAGAGAAAGAAAGTAAGAAGATTCTAGACTTGGTTCTAGCCCCCATGGTTTAACCAAGACTGTGCACCTTATGACAGTGCTTTTCGTGAGTCTCCTCTCAAATGTGTTGGTTCTAGACTTAAAAACCCAGCAGTTAGACTTTCTAGAAGGTTGTTGTTGTTAAGTGCCGTCGAGTTGGGTCCAACTCATAGCGACCCTGTATAGGGTTTCCAAGGAGCAGCTGGCGAGTTTGAACAGCCGACCTTGTAGTTTAAACCAACCTTGCTTTCCAGTGCTTATATTGTAGTGCCACACCAGGACTCCATTATAGAATTAACTCCTTTTATTGAATTAACTATGTAATCCATGTTTTCATATCACCAACTGAGCATGTAAATGGGGTCTTTCCTATTAGACAAGAGATGGCTTGACATGATTCAAAATAGCTTGTTCTCATTGTGGTATTTAGAGACCTAAAAAGTTTTTAAAGACGTCTGTTGTTGTTGTTAAGTGCCGTCGAGTCGGTTCCGACCCATAGCGACCCTGTACAGGGCTTCTGAGGGTGTAAATCTTTACGGGAGTAGAAAGCCTCATCTTTCTCCCGAAGAGCAGCTGGTAGTTTCGAACCCCTGACCTTAAGGTTCGCAGCCCAATTCGTAACCACTACGCTACCGGAGCTCCTGAGCAGTTTCTTATTCTTTGGAACTAGTAGGGTGTCTCCAGTTAAACAGCTGAGTGTTCTGTTATATTGGACAAGTGCCCTTTTGAAAACAAGGATTCTTTTTTTACTTAAGAAACATTTCACTCGCTGAAACTAGTTGCAGAATGCAATAAAAATGGAGCATAGATTTTTAAAAAACAAAGATCCCATAACTTTTCTCATGCTGGCATTAAGACAGAATATCACTCTTTTACAAAAGAGACATTTTAAAATTCACTTCTCAGCACAGCAACATTAGTGGCCACTGGGGACTTAGCCTTTGTGCAGTCTTTGGTCTGCTGAATTCAGAGACAAAGTAGTCTAGAAAGTGGCTAAAAAAGTGCCCACATTTGCTACCTGATCTTCAAGAAGGAGAAAACAAAAAGGGGGAAAAAAAACCCTGAGTGGCAAATTGACTTTAGAAGTGAAGAACAATGAGCCGCTTGTAGCTCGCAGGTTCAGGTAATAAAAATATCCAGTAACACCTGGTGGCACCCTGGTTAAGAATTGGTTGCTAACCGAAAGGTTGACAGTTTGAACCCACTAGCTGCTCTGTGAGAGAAAGATGTGGCAGTCTTCTGCCATAAAGATTTACAACCTTGAAAACCCTATAAGCAGTTCTGTTCTGTCCTGTAGGGTCTGTAGGATTGCTATGAGTTGGAACGGACTCAGTTGATAGCAGTGGCGAATGCATTTCAGAGAAGGTACTAATGATGAATTCTACGAAAAGAGCAAGATATGTGGAAAACATATGCATCTCAGTACATGAAGAGAATAAGATCAGAATAAGGGCATGTTACCTTGTCCTGGCATGGACTCAGAAAATGGATCCCTGGATCATTTGACCAGTGGCTGCTCACCCAGTTCATGCTGGAGGGCGAACAGCCTCTGAGGCCATGGCATTGCCCGGGCGTGATTGCACACATGAGAATGCACCAGAAAGCAACAGGATTGACAGAATCAGCACAGTGCTATCCATGCAAACACTGCACAGTCAAAAAGCCAACATCTTTACTTCCCTTTCTCCTCTCCTCCCAAACTTTTAATGCAATGGAGGGAAAGTCTTCTTCTAGTGCATAGGACACAAGGTAGGGTTGAACTGAAAACCAAGAAAGAATCAGGGTAGTCTTCAGAACAGATTTCCTTGTTCACTGTAACTAAATATTGGCACAGTGGTGGATCAGAGGTAGAATTCTCGCCTTTCATGCCAGAGACCTGGGTCCGACTCCTAACCATGCACCTCATGCACAGATATCACCTGTCTGTCAGTGGAGGCTTGTGGGTTGTTGCATTGTTGAACAGGTTTCTCAGCAGCTTCCAGATTAGGATAGACTAGAAAGAAAGGTCTGGCAATCTATTCTGAAAGTCAGTCAATGAAAACCCTATGGATTACAACAGTCTGATCGAACCTGTTCAAGGTAGGGCCAGTCAGCACTTTGTTCTGTTAACAAATTTTGGAGCAGACACTCAGGGTTGGTACAGAACACCCTTCATAGAGTTTCTGAAGATGGAGAGATGCAAAATGGCATCACACAATCCTGTAAATCACTTCAGCCGTGGGAATCATTAGCTGTCTTTGATATGGGAAATTGAACTCCATATCTTGTTTTACAGCCAAACTAGGAGACACAAAAGAATTAGAAGACTTCATTGCTGATCTTGACAGAACATTAGCAAGTAAGTACATGCCTGTATTTATAAAATGAAACAGAAAATTAACCGACAACTCGGATAAAATGCTATAATGTTTATAAGCTTGCCAGGGGCAGGCAGTAACATCATAAAACTAATTTGGGTTCAGAAACATGACCTTAGTGGCTCAAAGAAATTCTGAAGTTAAGTTTTCATTAAAGTAGTCTGTGTGATTTTTAACAAGGGCGTTTTGTTTGAGAGACCAGAGGACGGTTGTGGTGAGAGCTGGGCTGCAACTTTATCCTTTTGATGGTCTGCCTGAATTTTCAGAGAAGAAATGAGCCAACTGACCACACAAGCACTACACTAACACCCCAGATGATTCTGTCCCACGGGCTTGGGTACTTTTGCCAGTTACATCAGGCACGTGGTGAGACCTGTGTTCTAGAAGGACAGGGCCCCAAAGTAAGAAGTTGGTGTAGGGAGACTTTCTAATTACTAAATGACCTGGATCAAGCACTCAGTATCTCCCTCCTATTTGGGAATTCCAGCAGTGGTACTCCATGGTGGTCCAAACTAGTCCTGGGGACTGAAGACGTGAGCTCATGGCTACAATAGGGAATTCTAGTCTAGTTCCCAAGAAGAAGCCTTGTGAGTGTATCTACAGACCCTATTCTGTAGGACAGGATAAAATTGCAGAAGCCAGAAGCACAAACTGGGATTTCAGGATGGAAATTTCCACAGCTGGATTCACTGGTAGGAGTCCTGGTGTGACTGATACTGTGGGTTAATGCACTGGACTGAATAGTCAGTTTGAACCACAAGGTCAGCAGTTCAAGTTCACCAGCTGCTTCTTGGCAACCCTATACAGAGGGTTGTTATGAGTTGGAACCGACTTAGTGGCATTTAACACCACCAACAACAACATTCACTGATAGGGGGAGAGGGGCCCTGGGTGAGGAGGAATGGAGCCTTGTTCATTCACAAAGTGGACCTGGCAAATTCTGTTTCAGCCCTAAAATTTTCAGTGCAAGTGTTGATTTTCTCTAGTAAATATTTTATGCTAAATAGCTGGGCGACGTCCAGAAAAAAACACACTAAAAAACTGAATCCATACCTAGATAAGATCAATGAATAAAGTTTCAGGTAGACCCAAATATTAAGTCCATCCCTATTTACTTGAAGATTTTATTGCCTGTTTTCCTACATGTTGCACTACCCTACATCAGAAGATGGGGGCTTGTCTTGACAGATACTGTTGTCACTGCAGCATAATTAGAGCTAGGCCCATGTAATAAGCTTGCCTACTTCATGGAAATTGTAGATGGCTGCCCCATCATGCCAGTTAATCAGACATCCATTATGCAGGAAGCCTGCCATTAAATTTGTTGCTTTGATGCACGGCTGAGATGGTGTGATATGGTTGAGCACAGGATTTGTGATCTTTTATGCCTGGGTAATCTTACAGGAGTCTTGGTGTGGTGCTGTGGGTTAATGCACCAGACTTCAAAGTTGTTTGAACTGCAAAGTTGGTGGTTCAAGCTCACCAGTTGCTCCTCGGAAACCCTATATAGGGTTGCTATGGGTTGGAATCACCTCTACGTCACTTAACAACAACAACAATCTTACTTAGCTTCCATTTACAGGTATGTGAAAGAAGAAATAGCTCTGGCTCTGTATTCTCATAAGGGAGAAGCTTCCGAGAGCTCTGAGGACCTGGTGAAATCAGCTACTGGGATCTGCTGCCAGATGAGATGAACTCACCCACCACCAGCTGTCTCAGACCCATCTGCCTTTGGGCTCATCTCTCTACAGTTTAGACAATGAAATTGGCGTGGTTTACTGGCTTGCAGCATATTAGAAGAGGTGACCCATGCTAATATTGTATTTCCTCTTAAAACATAGCCTCCCTGTAATTTAAAGTGCATTTATGAAAATATTTGTAATTAAATATATATAGTTGCAAACAGTAATATGCTTTTCTCATTATAATATATTTTTGTATACAAATAAATTTGAACTGGAGTCTCTTTTTGTAAGTTTTCATTTTCTTATTCAATGTATGTATTTTATATTCAAGTAATATTCTAATAGAAGTGCCCTATCTTTTGTCTCCTAGCAAGGACTCTGGTGCTGCCTAATGGCACTAGATAAACAAGGGAGAGTTGATGGTTCAGTGGAAGATTGTTTGTTTTTCATGCAGGAGACAGGGTTTGATTCCTTGTGTGCAGCCATCACCTGTCTGTCTGTGGCGGCTCATGCATTGCTGAGATGTTAGGCTTCAGTCGGGCTTCCTGACTAAGTCAGACAATGAAGAAAATCAGCTAATGAAAATCTGATGGGGATGGTGCAAGACTTCATTGTGTATTGGATCACCATGAGTTGAGGCTGACTTTATGGCGGACACCAAATTTACTCTGAAGCTCATTTGATCTTCTAGGAAGGTGCTCGCAGGTGGTTAATGGGACATAGGAATTTGAGAACTGTGGTTTTGATACAAGTTAGGTTTCGGTTCCATATTTGTCCTTCTATTCATATCTTTGTATCCTTTCAAATGCCATGAACATGTCTCTTGAGTTGAGGGAAATACCAGTTATACTCAAAATTTGGGACTTAAAATATGCAGGAAAGTTGGGGCAGCCAGAGGACCTAAAAATTGATGGTGTTTTTATAAAGTCTATGAGCAAACAAGAGTTCTGAGGCAGCTTCAAGGGGCCACAGAGAGGTTCTCCGTAGGTGGGCTTTGCATAGAGAGATCTTTATGATATGCTTCCACCAACCTTTGGAAGGGAACAGGGAGTGAGAAGGTAGCTCTGGGTAGCACAAATGGGTAAGCACTTGACCACTAGCTGAAAGATGATTGGTTTAAATCCACCCAGAGGCACCTTGGAAGACTGGACTGACGATCAGCTTCTGAAAGTTCACAACCTTGAAAACACCTGGGGTCAGTGGCAGCCAAACAGCAACTGGGGCACCTGAAAAGAGGAAAGTTCATACTTCCTATGAATGCTTTTCTATTAAAGAAAAGAAATGTCCTGTAAAATAAATGCATATTATTTTCATAACCAGAAAAAACAACAACAACAAAAAAACAACCTAAACCTAAGAACTACATTCTTTATATTCTTAAAGGACATAAATGCAAAAAACAAAAGACAAAAACTCAAACACTTATGATGATTTTGTTTATATTGTCAAAAGCTAACCATAATATTTGATCTGATTTTTATGGTTTGGGGAAAATAACTTTTCTTTATTATTTGCTTTCTTTTAGTTGGATCCAAATTTTTACTTTTTCTTTTATTGAGGTCTATCATTTATATAACATGCAATTCAGCCTTTTAAAATTTACAACTCAGTGGTTTTTGTATATTCACAAAGTTGTGCAATCCTCACTAGTACCAATTCCAGAATATTCCATCCCCCAAAAAGGAACCCTGTGACTCTGAGTCGAGTACTCACTCTTTACACCTCCCTCCCCTCAGCCTCTGACAACTACTAATCTGCTTTGTATCTTTATGGATTTCCTGTTCTGGGCATTTCATATAAATGGAATCATACTGTGTGAGCTTTTGCAACTGACTTCTTAACATTTGTTTTCTGGCTTCATGTTGGAGCATGAATCAATACTTCCTTATTTTACAGTCTGGTAGTCTTCCATTGCATACTTAAACCACATTTTATTTATCTGTTCATCACTTGATGGAATTTTAGATTGTTCTCTTTTTTGTTGTTGTTGCTATTATTAATACTACTATGAACATGTATAAGTTTTTGTGTCGATATGTTTTCAGTTCTCTTGGGAATTAGGTGTGGAATTGCTGGGTTATATGGTAACTCTGTTTAACTTGTTGAAGACCTTCCAAACGATTTCCTACACAGCTGCATCATTTTACATTTCCACCAACAATGTCTGAGGGTTCCAATCTGTCCACATCCTCACCGACACCTGGTATTGTCTGTCTTTTTCATCTTAACTATCCTTGTGGGTTTGAAGTGGTATCTTCTTGTGGTTTTGACTTGCATTTCCCTAATGACTAATAATGTTGAACATCTTCTAATATGCTCATTGGCCATCTGTGTCTCTTGTTTGGAGAAAGGTCTATTCAAATCTTTTATACATTTTTAATTGGGTTATTTCTATTTAGATTTTTCAGATGTAATAGTTCTTTATTCTTCTAGGTACTAGAACTCTTATCGATTTGAATGATTTGTAAATCCTTTCTCCCATTTGTGGGTTGTCTTTTCACTTTTTGATAGTGTCTTTGGAGCATAAAAGCTTTACATTTTGATTTAGTTCAATGTATCTAATTTTTATGATGTGCTTTTGGTGTAGTATCAAAAAACAAAAACAAAAGCAAAAAAACAGAGTCTAATTAAGCCAAGGCACCTGAATATATAAATGCATCAGGATCAACTATGACTTGCATATACCTATATTCTTTTAAAAGTTTTAATAATGTTAGCACTTATGTTTAGGTCTTTGATCTATTCTGAGTTAATTTTTGAATATGATTTGAGATAGGGGCCCAAGTGCATTCTTTTTGCATGAATGCGTATACAGTTGTCCCCGCACCAGTTGTGAACAAGATTATTTTTTCCTCATTGACTTGTCTTGGCACCCTTGTCAAAAGTCAGTTGCCCCTAAACATAAGATAGGGGTCTATTTTTGGACTAGTAAGATCTTCTGCTTTAGTTGTCTGCTTTTGTAGCACTACCCCACCCAGTCTTGATTACTAATCACCACATAATACCTCTTTTAGCATGAAAACCTTTTCTTGAGTTTTTCTAATAGTGGTATCATGCAATATTTGTCCTTCTGTGGTTGACTAATTTCATTCATTATAATGTCCTCTAGGGCCATCCATGTTTAAGGTGTTTTGCAGAGTCATTGGTATTCTTCAATATTGCATAGTATCCCATTGTGTGTATGTACCAGAGTTTGTGTACCATTCTTCTGTTGATAGGCATTTAGGCTGTTTCCATCTGTTTGCTATTGTGAATAGTGCCATGGTGAACATGGGTGTGCATATATCTGTTTGTGTCACAGCTCTTATTTCTTGACGATCTATACCAAGTAGTGAGATTTCTGGGTCATATGGTATTTCTATTTCTAAATTTTTGAGAAAGCACCAAACCATTTCCCACAGTAGTTGCCCCATTTTCCAGTCCCACCAGCAGTGTAGGAGGGTCCCAGATTCTTTACCCCGTTACCAGAACTTTTTCTTTTCTGATTTTTGTATTTCTTTACTAATGCTGGGGTAGCAATGAGTTTATTGTTAAAGAAAGACAAAGGATGAGTGTGAATTATTACAAGTATTATTTGGGCAAATTTAGGTATTTTTTAAACCTGTAAAGCAAAAGTTTTTATTAACAATTATTTAAATTGTATATAAAATGCATAATTAAAAGAAAAATAGAAAGACAAAGGCAATAAGTATTGGAGGAAAACCAGGCAATCTCTGTTGTAGTATGTTGAAGGCTTTGAGAAACTCTAGTCAAGAAAACCTGGTCCCCTCCTTTCCTTTGTCTTGGTAGAAACCTAGAAACCTGCATCATATAAGTTTTCCTTGGAACACACTTTGGGAAGTGCCGCTGTAGGTCCTCTCACTCCAGCGAGGTCTGTCGGGCATCACCTCCTCCCAGAACTGAGTGCCAAGGGGCTTGCAAATAGCTCAACTGCTACCTGGAGAGTGGTACCAGGGGCTCTTCTTAGAATGGAGCAAGAATGGACATTCTGCATGCAAATAGGATATGAATAGTATGTTTTTGAATTTGGGAATTCTCAGTTCTAAACAAAGCTAAATAAAACAATACCACACACACCCAAAAGTTAGTGCCAGCCCAAATATTTCTATACCGCCAGCCCCCAGGGCGGGGCAGAGAAGCCAATAGGCACCTCTTCCTGGGGAAATTAGGACAGGTGGGCAGAGTGGAGCTTGCTGTGTGTTTGTCTGAGGAAGCATGAGGCGTGAGGAGGCATGTCTGAGCTGAGGTGCAACAGGCAATGATGGTGAGCCTATCGGCAATCAGCCACACTGGGGACCCTAGGAGGCTTCACCACAGAAATATCACCCTGGTATGGGATAGAGGGTATATGGAGAAAGGATGGGCTTTCAAGCAAGACCAGGTTCAAATCCCAGCTCTGCCAATTAGTAGCTGGGTGATGTCAGAGGCTTGTTTTCCTCATTTGTGAATCGAAGTGTAAGTCTTTGCCTTTCCCAGGGCCACTGTGAAGGTCAAATACATAATAGGGGTTGGCTCTCTTCCTTATATTGCAAGGACACCAGGCTCCTGTAGCCAATGAAAAGTTAAACTTTACCCACAAAGTGACCTTTAATGTCAAGTTTAGTAGTTCAAAACCAGCAGCCATTTCACGGGAGAAAGATGAGGCTTTCTGCTCCCATAAAAATTTACAGCCTTGGAAACCCTGTACAGGGTCCCTATGATTGGGACCAATTCCACAGCACGTAACCACCACCACAGTAGCTGTGAAGAGAAGTTCTAATCCTGTTGCCCCTCCTCTGATGGATGAAAGTTGGTATTTGGTCTGATGGGACCAGAGTGGGCAAGGGAGGAAAGAACATGGACAAAGGGTCTGGAGATGGACTTTAAGTCTCAACCCTGCCATTTACTGGTCCCTTGCTGTTTCTGAGTTTTAGATTCCTCCAGGTAACATGAGGGAGTGGGAACTTACATCCTTAGGGTCCCTCCAGTCCCAGCAGGGCCTGGTTTGGAGGACTTCAGCCCTTCCTATGTTGTGTATAAGGTTGCTATGTGGTAGGCCTCTAGCGCAACACTGGCACCTTAGAACAGCAGCCAGAACACTCCTTAGAAAGGAGGATGGCAAGATATCATCTCACATACTTCAGACATGTTATCAGTAAGAACAGCTGCCGAGAAAAGGCCATAGTACTTGGCAAAGTAGAGAGTCGGTGATAAAGAGGAAGACTTCCAACAAGGTGTAGCACAGTGGCAGCAACAATGAGCTAGACGTGAGAATTGTGAGGGTAGTACAGAACCGGGTACTGTTTTATTCTGTGACATGGTTGTTATGAGTTGGAACAGGCTTTATGGCACTTAGCAACAGCAACAACAACAGAAACAACAGCCCACCTTCCCTCACCTCAGACACACAATTCTTCTCTGAAAAGTTGATGGAGAGAACAAACAAGATGGTGGATAGGGTAGAAGTGCAGTGAGGAGCTCTGCTGGCAACAATACAGAATACTGGAACAAGCAGGCTCAGGAGATGGTGCCAGAACTCTGAGCCATATATAAAGGAATATTTAGAAGATTGGAAGGCTTACAGCTAGGGGAATTTGTAGCAGAAGCAAGAAATCCAGTGATTTCTAATTCAAGACACTCAGCTGCTCCCAGAGCAGCTATCTTGGGTGAGACCAAGCGAGGGAAGGATCAGAGCAGTCATGGACACCTGACAGAACTGCGGAGATAAAGATGTGGACATTCTTTTTTTTTTGATATCTGTTCATTGGTCTCTCGCTGTCTGTGCACCTCCATTCTGGTGACTAGAGTGGGTGCCTGAGCCAGTGGCCAGTGGACATCCCACCCCTGCCTCTGGAGGGTTCTACTATGCATGTGCATAGATCTCCTTGAAATTTAAAGGAACAGTTTCCACTTAAAACCAAATGGCCACAGCTGGCCCTGAACTGCTTATCACTAGGAAAAAGGCCTGAACGGGGATTGTGGAGTGGGACAGGCTGACTGAAAAGGAAGTAGGCTGAAAATTAAATCCTGAGTTATGTTACAACAACCAACAGTGGCATCTTGAAATTTCTCAGGAAGAAGAGTGAAAAGGGAAGCGCATCTCCTGACCACATCTACATGGAGGCAACAGGAAAGCATTAAAAAAAATGCCAAAATACACATCTATCTAAGTATTAAGGCCACAAATAACTCCTAAATATGCCCCAAGAACAGAGGCAGATGACCATATCAGCACATGTTCAGAAATAAGATAAAGTGACTGAGGCAAATGAGCTGGAAGTAGACCTACACTGCATACTGGAAGATAGGCAGGCTTTGGAAATGCCTCAGAAGGAATTCAGAAAAATGATTATAAAATGTATCAAAACACTATACAATGGAGTTGAGAAAAATAAGGAAGAAGTCAGGAAAGCACTACAGAAACAATCAAATAAAATAGATACAGCACTGGAAAAAATTCAAAATTTACAGAAAGAGGTCCAAATGATTAATAATAGAATATCAGAAATGGACAATACACTGAAAGGGCAAAGGAGTAGAACTGAGGCGTTAGAAGCCAGAACTAGTGAGCTAGAAGATAAATCTTTCCACACTACTAAGATAGAAGAGCAAACACAAAAAAGGATAAAAAAATCTGAAGAAGGCCTAAGATTCATGTTGGACAACATGAAGAGGAATAACTTAAGCATTATTGGCATTCCAGACAGGAAGAATCACAAAGTCCACAGAGGAGATAGTTGAAGGGCTTCTGGAAGAAAAATTTCCTAACATCCTGAAAAGCGAAAAGATGAGCATTCAAGAAGCTCAATGAACCCCAGGATGGATAGACCCTAAAAGATAATTACCAAGAAATATAATAATCAAGTTCTTCAAAATAAAAAATAAGGAGAGAATCCTGAAAGCAGCTAGAGAAAAGAGAAGTGTAACATACAAACACAAGCAAATCAAATTAAGCTTGGATCTCTCAACAGAAACCATGCAGGCAAGAAGGCAATGGGGAGACATTTATAAAACCCTGAAAGAGAAAAAAACTGCCACCCAAGGATCCTCTACCCAGCAAAGCTGTTAATCAAATATGCTGGTGTAATCAAAACATTCCAAGAGAAACAGAAGCTATGGGATTTTCCCAAAGCCAACCCTGCTATGAAAAGCATCCTAAAGGAATTTCTGTGGACTGAGAACCAACAAG